TATATATATATATATATAGTCATATTACAAAGAGACGACTACAATTAAAAAACTACTACGTCTAACTGAACGATGGCTGACGGTATACTTTAATGCGGTGTCGGTTCTTTGACCTACTTCTCCAATCATTTCCCCGTGCTGTTTATTTATCACCCATAACTATTTGACCCCTGACCCCCGCTGTGCTGAGCTCAGAATTGTGATTGTACCCAAAACTATTCCCCACATCCTCCCCTACAACCGCAACTTCTCGTTTTTTTTGGTAGGTAGCGTCGCATGTGGCGACGTTTTAAGCAAACAGTAACGAACATCAAATCGTGTCTGGTTGAGGTAGAACAATAGCCATTGTTCCTCACAATGTCTCCCGTAGTTTGGTTACGTGCAAACCACTGAATAATTCTCCCTCACCTAATCACAGATAGGATGCATGTGGTGTATAAAAACATTAAAACCGTTCATGTGGATCCCAGGGGAAATATTGCCATTTTTCCTGGCTTAATTTGCTAATGTGTGAAGCGCATCGGCAGACAGTGTGAAATGTTTGAACAAGTCGCGGTATTTGTGAAGTTAGTTGTTTTGGTTTATCTCAATTATTGTCAACGTTTCATCGCTAACAATTTTTTGTATCATTACTTTAAACGCACAATTGAGCATTATTTTATTGGATGCAATCAGATAACCAGACACCAGTGTAACATAATTTTAACAGATTTATGGGTCATACATTTTGCCTTCGTTTAGTTGATGACAGATATATTTATTCTAGAACATTATGTCATGACTGTATAGTTTATATATAAAAACTTTTATAATAAGCTTTTATCTATGCATGAACAAAGATTAATTAATGTATAACTGTCCTTTGTATAACAATAAATAAAAGCATGGATAGTAATAATGTGTACTGAAAAATTTCGGATATTCGTATTCACATTTCTTAATTGATGTAAAGATACTTCCTTACGCCACTGACAGAGAAATATAAACATAAATATATCAGAATTTTATGAGCAAATCACTTTAATCACGCTTTTATTTAAATTCGTATACAGTTAGCTTTAAACAAGCATGACGGTAAAGTTAATTGATTATTGCTTGTCAAAAAAACTATTCGAGGCTAAGGTTTGATAAGCTGGGTGACGAAGACATTAATTTGAAACATCTATCTGATGAAATCAGACCTACGTATTCGTGCATTTAATACTGCCGTCAGCGATGCTAAGTGCATGTCGTAATCCTAGTTCTGTTAGCATGTTTGGTATCTCGAAAAACGATGCTTTAAATGCTGACCTAACCCAAACTTTAACGCTTTAAGGCCCTTTAAAAAAAATCTACGAACATAGCTATTCTATTATCGACGCTTCAAATGCAGATCTAACTCAAACCTGTCACAGAGACCCTTATTTTAAAAAATCCACTAACATGTATTTGGATATGTCTACATAGCTTTTCTATTATCGATGCTTCAAGTGCAGACCTAACTCAAACTTAATACCCTTTTTAAAAAAAACCTACATGAACATGTATTTGGATATGCCTACATAGCTTTTCTGTTATCAATGCTTCAAATGCAGACCTAACCCAAACTTAACAACACCCTTTAAAAAAAAAACAACCTACATGAACATGTATTTGTATACGCCTACACAATTTTTTTGGTGATCACGTGATACCATGTTGTAACTGATCCTGCTGATGCCAAGCGTATTGGAGTGGCGGCAATTTACCCACACAAGTCTGGCTTAAGAACAGGCCCGGTTCAAATGTTCCGCCTGGCTAGGCCTTTACTTCTGCCCAGTTTGTTTGCTGTGGTCCAATTGTCGAACGAGCCCCCTTATCTCTGGCTAGGTGGCGCGCACAACGTTTCTGCTTTCGTGAACCGTAACAGAGTAACAGTTTCTTTTGTGACAGTGGTTTTTTTTTAATACCTACAATTTGTATGTATTCTGTTTCTGTATAGACACGATTATCAATCAATATAATTTACATAATTTAATGCCGCAATTAACGGTGATATAAAACCTCCTGAGTTTTGAATTTTGAGACACGTATTTGTATGGAAATGAGATAGTATTTAAAATTGATTTTTGTAGAGAATAAGTTGCGTGGGCGATATTGTTGAGGGTATGGTTCGGGTGGGTGGAAAGTGGTATGTAAGTATTAGCTCTTCCCACGATGGACTAGCAACTTAATCAATGTATAGTTGGCAACGTCGACAATCACTTGCTTTGATTTTGAGCACCAGGAAGCCTAAATCATGCACTGTACATAGTCATGTCACGAGCTTTACCATACTGAGAGTCTGTCGCTTACGGAATGAGAAACAAAAATGAAAGGCCGTCTTGCGTTCTTCGAATGAGTCCGCAGCATCTGGTTAAGACTAAGTAAATGAAGTAAGGATTAATAATGTACCTTGAGGAAGTGTAAAACGGCTAGTTTTACCGTTACGATTTGTTAATAAAAACGTGTGGTATTACATAAACATGCATGCTTAATCAGAAAGTTGGGGTGCGGACGCAAAATTCAGAAAACGCTCTCTGCGACGGAAGGATCTTTTTTTTTCTTTTCCGTGCCTGTTTTGGTGATGATTTGATCCTAATCTACAAGCTCGTCACGTTAATCAACGACAAAATTCTTGCTTACGTCCGTACAATGCTAATTATAAAAATGATCCCATGACTCAGAGATAATCAAACGGCCCGTTGTCAGATCAGCGAACAACAATGACACAGCTGCGCATGCGCGTGGGAGGCGATGCCTCGGTGTGAAAATTGCCTGACTTGTTTGACTTGCCGCCATCCAAGTTCTATGTCTGGTTGAGGAGACAACTAATTAGTCAAACTTTAAAGATCACAGGCCGACCGCTGGGTTGGGCACGCACTAACCGTGTTACCGAACGCCTTCTTGTCGTTTCAGAACTAAAGGGGGGGGGGGGGGACGACGACAGTCAAGTCAAATCTTATTACCTATGCCGGAGATGGCAGAAGACGCTTTTGGTGACTTTACAAGACGCGAGAGTGCATGAATCTTTTAAAAAATTGTCGCCCGCTTTTTTTTAAAAATACCCGGATACAATACCGCATCACTTTAACAAGTTAGGATTTTTTTTTTTTTAAAAAAAAGGTCGATACCACTTCGTGCAGGCGCCCTTCTGTTTTTTTTTTTATCTCATTAAAGGCAGTTGGGCATAACACTGAACGCGCTATCTCTTTATATGCTGCCGATGCCCGTCAATGAGATGAACTCGACTGTGATATAAAACTTCCCTTCTGAAAGAGAACTTGTTTTTCAGAACTGCTACAAAGTAAAGTAAAGCAGTTTTTTAAAAGCCCCCCCCCCCCCCCACCCCTTCTCGTGGGAGTGTTGAATGTACATGGTTAGCTTAAACTGATTCAGCTCCCACCTCTGACACCCTCGTGGCTTCACACCTCCCCCACGTGTTGATGTTCGGGTGTTGATGCGGACACGACGTACACCCCCAATCATGTTTGGCGTACCTGGACAATACAACGACTCTCACCTGATCGCAGGTGTACGCAACCAACCAACCAACCTGTTTTAATCTTGACGCATCAATGTTATAACACTCCCTCTTACTTTGTTTCATTGTTTAACCAAGTGACCAATTCGAACCCTCTTAATCCCAATTTTAAGCTCTACTTTAACACGAATTCTAATAATATCTAAGCGAAGAAAAGAATCTATCACCCAGTACCGAAGTACTATTTATAATGCAAACCAAAATAGTTTTTTTTTTTTTTTTGCGGGGCTAGCGTTACAATGTTGACTTTAATCCAGCGCATCCCCTTTCTAAATACGCTCTCCGCAAACGGCAAGTGTAGCAGATATAATCCGAGCAACGTGGTCCTGGCATCGTTGAGTAGAAGCGAGGCTTGACCTTTTTGTTTACTCTGACACTATGTTGTAGATCTTAGGGGTTTGTTTTCGGGCCAGAGGTTTTAAAGCAGGGCCGCAGCTGGTAAATAGAACATCCGTGACGTCAAAACCAATTAGAAATGGAGGAGGGGGCGGCGGATTACGCGTAAGAATAACTTTTTTTTTTCGCTCCTTGTAGATAAAATTAGAGCCGCGAACTACACCCAGTAAATGTACCTGTGGTGATCAGGTACTAAGGTACTTGTTCGATCCGTCTGTGGTAAGGTCTTTGGCATTGCGTCTTGACGTCCAACATAATTAGTATATTGAAAGAACCAAAGTATACACACTTATCCTCTGTGCCATTCAAGCTACGCCTCTTGGTTCCATACGTTATATCATATTCAATAAAGCAGGGTTTTTTTTTTTGGGGGGGGGGGGGCAATACTCCTTTCGAAAACAGTGGCGAAATACGAAACCAACAAAAACCGAAGCAATTATTATATATATATTTTTAAAAAAAATATATATAAATTGATGAATATAAATCGCCATAGACTTTCCAAAATATATAAAGAAATTTGTTATATGCCATATAGAAAAAAAATCAATGTCAGCTCTATAAACATCATATATAAACAAATATATATAAATGGCTAAGGGGAAGATTAAATGAATATTTAACATGATATGTAGGGAAAACTGCGTTCGAAAGGGGAGTCCCCTTCGACAAGAACGTTAGGTATAAGGGCACTAGCTGGGATCATATCCCTTCGAGGTCTGTTTCTGCCCGCAACACTAAGCTTAAATCAGCAGCAAAGTTTCTTGGGCACGTCAGAGTAACCAGTGAAGCATGAAATAAATTTGACCCTTAAACCTAAAGCAGTCCCGAAAACTAGCACCAACAAAATTCAGTCGCTTGTATTTCTGTCATTTAAAGATTATAATCTCAGACCAGGAAATAGTGCGCCTTTTAAACAATTATCAGCAATGATTTGTTCCGTAATAAATCTTTTAGCAAATTATCTATATGCTTTTTTTATGGTTCCATATATCAGCAATTATTTGTTCCGTAATAAATCTTTTCGCAAATTATCTATATGCTTTTTTTTATGGTTCCTCAGGTCAAGAATATGCCTTCAGATGAGCAGTTTTCCTTTGACTATAAGGTAGGAATGTATTCCATATGTAGACCATATATGTTTATTCTGGGGACTTTACAGGGCAGGATTTTATTCCATATGTAGACCATATATTTTTATATTGGGGACTTTACAGGGTAGGAGTTTATCCCATGTGTAGACCATATATTTTTTACTCTGGGGATTTTACAAGCGTATTCTAAACACGTTTCACTTCAACTTGGAAGCTTTTTGTTTTTTTTTCATGTCAAGGTCGAGCCTTGTCAAGAATTTACATACAAAGACTCTAATAAAGCTTTAATTGTCATTTTAATTCATTCAACAAGTCGATGAAAGAAAACCCCAACTCCAAACGATATTGACTTTTTTTTCAAGACTGTGCCTGAATAGTGAAAAGTTTTATGAGTGGTGAAAATAAATATTCTACTGAACTTTCTTGAAGACCCCAGGGAAAACGTAATATTTATTTAGATTCTAGATCTTAAATGGATATTTCATGATTTGTTAGAAGGTCTTTTGGTTATGTTTGCGAGTTGGGAAATTGTTACATTTAAATTGGTGTTTAAAAGGTTAATCACTGGTATATTTTTATTGAATCACAGACACTTTACTTCAGCAGGCCCATCCTTATATCTTACAGTCTAATGAGCTTAAGGGGGGGGGGGGGGGGTGAAGCTAATTATCAGATCTACGAAATGATAGTCAGACGCGCTAAAATAGTTTTTCCAACTGGTGCCTGGACAAATTGAAATAGTTAACTTTTTTTTGTAATGATTCTAAATAATTTAAAGTAGGCTACAAAAAGCATCTAGATCTAATTTAAATTTTGAAATATCACAGAAATCAATTTAAAAAAATCTGCCTGTTGAGTTAAGAAGGCGAAACGTTAGCTCATTACTGTTTAATTATGTTAATTTATTCTTTTGATAAAAAAGTAAGACAGCTTTCCAGGTAGGTAAGCTTATAAATCAGATTTAGCAGTACGGGCCGACTTATATAACATATATATACTTTTTTATCTGATTAACTAAACATAAAAACAATCAGCGTCAAATTGTAAACATACAATACACTTAAGTATATTTATACCATGACATTTTATGTTTCAGTAAAACTTGGCAGATGGTTGATACAATATAGTTACAATTAATTTAATTAGATTAGTTAAAATGCACTTTTGTTCCGTCTCTTTCGAGTGGGAAAGTTTCGGTATGGCACTGGAGATCCGCGTTTAGCAAAGCTTTAATGAGATTTCAAGTGGCTAGGCTACTTAAGACAAATGAGTGTGTTAACGGATACGCTGTACAAAGGTGCATTTCTTTTTTGTTTTAATGTATGTGAATATTTGTAATTGTGTAAATCCTGACAATGATTTCAGTGGGATATTGTGACACTGAAAGCAAAACTGATCGCCACTAGCATTTTGGTCAAGCTGATGGCGTCCGGCGACTGGGACAGCTTGGCGGCACTGACCGACGTGTACACCGAGTCCACTTTACACAAACCAAAAGTTAGTCGCTGGCATGAGCTTGGGTTGTGGTCCTGCAGTGTGGGATGGCCCGGCATGGTGCAGTGGTCCAGCATGGTGCATTGGTCTAGCAAAGTGCTGCGTCCAGCATGGTGCATTGGTCCAGCATGGTGCATTGGTCCAGCATGGTGCATTGGTCCAGCATGGTGCATTGGTCTAGCAAAGTGCTGCGTCCAGCATGGTGCATTGGTCCAGCATGGTGCATTGGTCCAGCATGGTGCATTGGTCCAGCATGGTGCATTGATCCGGCATGTTGCATTGGTCTAGCAAAGTGCTGCGTCCAGCATGGTGCATTGGTCCAGCATGGTGCATTGGTCCAGCATGGTGCATTGGTCTAGCAAAATGCTGCGTCCAGCATGGCGCGAGTGTCCAGCCAAATGCTGGTCTCAGCATGAGTTCAAGCTTTACCCTCGCTCTGCTCATGTGACGCTAGTCATACTCCTCCTCTGTGCATGCCTTTATGTTGGTGTTTGTCGCATGGCCTCTTCCAAACCACTTCATATCCACAGCATTCTTCAAAGCTTTCAAACATGTAACAAGTAACTTTTTTTCTCGTTTTAAAACGTGTGTAAATAACCAACACCCTATTAAGTTACTACGTGTGTCAGTAAAAAAGAACTTTCAAGTTTCAGTGTGTATTAAAAAACCTTAATAGCTTTTGAAAAGTGTGTGAGTAACCAACATAGCTTCAACAAACCCATACCTAAATGATGAACAGATGCCGAATAGTTAAACAATTGAGTCGAAAAAAAAAGGTATAGAGCTGTAATAGAAAACAAGGTAGACCTGCGTAAAAGAAGAATGCGATAAAATAAACAACCCCAAAACACTGTAGGCCTACGTCATAGACTGTTAGCGCTGTATATCTATAGTGATTCTGTAGCTTATTTAAGTTCAACCTTCATGATCTGAGACAGCAGTTTCTTCTGACTTTATTGCCTATTTTTTGCCATTCGCTATCGATATTTCTGGCGATTGTCTATCTTTTTTTTCTAGCCTTTAATTTCTTTTTGTCGTTTAATCTACACAGTTAGTTCGAAACTAAAGTTGATGCGGATATTAAAACACTTCTTAAGGAGTGCGGTCTTCAATGAACTAAATAGTGTTTTCTGTTTGTGTGTCCGTGTGTAGATAAATGAGTTGAAGTGTTTTCCGTGTGTGTGTTCTGTGTAGGCCTGCATTATTTTTTCTTTCATCCTTTTTCAATTGCGTTGTGTTTCCCCATCTCCGGTTTTTAATAGCTCGCTGTCTATCCATTTATTGTTGTTGTTTGTCTTTTGTTGCCGTGGTGGTTTTAGAAGTAGCATCGTATTTGGTAGCCGTATTTTGGTAGCCCTAAGGCCTAACCGTTCAGTCTGAAAATATGTTGGTGGATAATCCTCACGCAAATGTTAACAGTTGACGCCAGTCTCAGAAGTGAATACGTCAGTGCAGGCGCCCCTCCTATGATGAGAGATCTAATCTATAGCCAAGTGGTTCTTAATCTGGGTTCCATCGAACTCCTAGTTCGGAGGAGACCAAGACACACTCTCGACTCATATGATTCACGATCGGATTTTGTCATTGCGAACAATAGAACTATTAAGTAGGGTTCGGTGAATGCGCAAATAAAACTGGTGGGGTTTGGTAACTCCAGAAAGGTTAAGAACAAGTATGTATTTTCTGTATAAATTCCATTTCGTTGGGGGGGGGGGGGGGTAGACTTACTTCGGGGGGGGGGGGGGGGGGGCGAACAGATGCCTGGAAGAAACTCTGACTCCTTCATTGAGTGCTTGACGACCGTTATTTCATCTGTCACATGTGCGTCTTCTATTCATAGTATTCATATCCGCAATTAAATTTCAAACCGGTGGCTATTGTCCAGCTCTTTCAAAACGCCCAGAACTATTTTCATAACCAACGTTTCAAAAAAATGTGTGCATAAAAGCCATAATGGCATCATTTCTTCAGCCATGCTAATCGACTTTTTTCCTTTATTCTCTCGTCATGTTTCTTACATACCACCCACACTTCTTGGCATGCCGTTTAGTGGGATATTGTGAAAACGAAAGTAAAGCTAATCGCAGTCAGCAAGATTGTCATGTTAACTGGCGGCGAATGGGAAAGTTTGGCGTCCTTGACCAATGTCTACACAGAAAAAATATTTCACATGCCCAAAGTTTGTATCTTACATTTTAGTCATGTCTTTTTTACCCTTACATTTTATACAACATTAGGCCTATGTTACTAATATAATATTAGTCTACTAGTATAGTTTAAACCTCTATAGATGTATGAATGTAATTATGGGTATAGATATAGATCTAGGCGTAGATTATAAATTATGCATTTATTTATGCATTAGGGGTCATCCACAAATGACGTCACGCTTTTTTGACGATTTTACCCTCCCCTCCGTCACACGTCGTCACAAAAAGCCAGAACCCCCCCCCCCCTAAAATGACGTCACACCTCAGCCTACAACCCCCCTAAAAATTGCTGTTGAATTTTTCTTAAAACATCGATATTTTTCCAAAATCTTGTCAGAACTCTGTCAACATAGTGTATTTTGATCAATTCCTTTTCCAATTTATTAAAACAGTTATATAAAACGCGAAATAACGGCTAAAATTCGTTTTATAACATTGTTTTTTATAATGCAAAAGTGTGACGTCGCACCATCTGAACCCCCTCCCCCTCATCACACACCGTCACAAAATTACGGACCCCCCTCCCCCTACGAGTGTGACGTCATTTATGGACGACCCCCTTAGACAGTACTAATAGATAATATATCAAGGATTGTAGATTAAAAATAATAGATTATAGAGTATCTAGAGATAGTTGTTGTATTAAACTAGATTAGATAGAGATTGTAGATCTATACTGTTAAAATTTATAGAGAATAAAAGATGAATATAATTATGTGATGTAGATATAGATCTATAGAGTACTTTGGAGATTGTAGGTATAGAGATAAATTGCATGGTGTCAACTCTATACTGATGATTGAAATGGATAAAATTGATAAAGACATAAGAAGATGATATAAAATAGATGAAAATTATTCAGATGTAGGTAGACCTACTAGATATAGAAGTATTTACATTTTAAATGCACCATTATAAAACTGGTAGTGGTAATAACGTAATTAGGCTACTTCAGCAGGTATTAATTAGATACTAGATATATTTCTTGTAAATCCCATGAAAAACAAACTTATAACTACTTTTTTCCTGGCTTTTATTATTTCTCAAGTTTTTTAATGCTTTTCTTTTTTTTTCTTTTTTTTTGCACATTTTTTTCCAGATTGGCTAGTTTGCTTTTGCTTTTTTTTTTATTGTGCATGAAGAGATGTCTGTATATAAATGAAATTTTTTAGGTCTTTATCTTAAATGTTAAAGTCTCATGTATGTTACATGTATTACAGGTTATTTTTATTCAACCTTATTCAACCCAGTTATATTATTCAATCAGATTTAATTTTTATATCTACATAGGAAAGTGGTTAGTGGTAGTTTAAAAGTCTTTTTGTATTTGTAGAATAAGCTAGTTTAACTTTAAGTTCATTGATATGAATCACTCCTGTTAATAAATGTTAAACATCAAAACTGAGTTATAAAAACATAGTAGTACTAGTACTAGTACTAGTCTCCAAAAAGTACTACTAGTAACATAATTTTTAAATTATTATTTAGTTTAAAAAAAATAAAACATTTTTCAAAATGTTTGTTTAAAATGCCAACACAATAGCACTCTTAACAAAGGTAATTAATGACTCTCGGATGTGTGGTCTGATTTATTAGTTCTGTTGAAGAACAATGGTATGTACATCTGGGCTTGGGAGGAAGTTTTTAAAGGTCAGGCAGCCAAGAAATGCCTAATATGTCTGATGGTGTGTTTTTCTCCAAGCACAGTGTGTAGAGAGAAAAAAAAAGTTACGATAACATTCATTTCATTAATCTTGACCTGCAAAAGCTGGTAAACATTTCAATAAATTGTGAGTTTCCTTTTCTAAAAACTTTTGGCCCACATAGATAGAGAGGTAGAGTTCTTGTGCTTGAGTGAGTTTAAATTAATTATTAAATTAATTAGTCATCACTAATGACTAATTAGGGTCAAGTGAAATGTTATTTAACCTTCTGAAACCTGGGTACAATCTAAGCTTTACATATTGAAACCAAAATTTTGGACATTAGCAATCTCTTCAAATATAATCACCAAAGATCATGATTCATTTAATTATTTTGATTTTTTAAAACCATATTTAATTATTGTTTTATCAATACATTTAACCACAGATAACACTCCAGCAGTGCATATAACTAATAACAAGATAATGATGTTTACTAATTATTTACAGCTTTTTTATTTAACTAATATTACCTACCCATATTTGTCATATATTTACATATACTGTTTTCTTACATTTAATCTTTTGTAGAATTGTACATGACTGCCTGTACCCTTAACATTGAAAATTACAAAATTTTCCTATTTGCATGTGTATGCATTCTATTATGCACACTGTATAATTATGCCACTAGTAATAAATATCTTGATGTGTTGGTTTAATTTTATCACCAAAACATTTTTTGTATAACAGATATAATTCCGTACATTTTTTATCTTTTAATATAAAGAAGCATTTTACTAATTGCTGTATAATTATATTTACTTAAAACATTTTGTTTTTTAAAGCCTCATTTATTGTAGGAAAATAATTTTATGGTATACTATCTAAAGCAATTTAGTTTTTTAAGTTTGTTTTGTTAGTCATACAGTTGTCACATTTTAACTTATTATTTATTGACTGTTTATGATCTTCTAGGGTGCAGACAGGTGGAGCAATGACCTCTATTTTGGACTTCAGAGAGTAGCCAGTTTAAACCATTCATTGATAAAATTAGTAACAGAAATTCCAGAGAAGTATGTTTATACAATTAATTCATATTAAGTTTGATGTTAAAGAAGAGAGTGGACTTTGCATGTTGCCTCACAATGCATTGGTAGTGGAATGAATTTTCTTTATTAAAATATCACCCAAAGCACATATACCACCCCCACCCCCCAAATTTCTCCCCCCCCCCCCCTTTCCGCTCAATGGAATTAATTTATATAGATAATATAAACTTTTACTAGTCATCATTTCCTCCTCCTGCCGACCCCAACCCCATCCCCCCCCCCCCCCCCCCTTTGAGAAAACAGTCTGAAAAAAAAACACTGGTCTTATAGGCTTGTTTGCTCCAACCCCTGTATCTTAACTTGAAAAAATTACGGGTCTTCTTATACATCCATTAGTGTTGTATGACAGAATATATGGTAAATGCCAGGTTTTTAAAAAAAGTTAGATTTCTCATATCATTAACAAGTTTTTTTTATTCTATTTTTCTATATTAATTTTTTTTATATTTAAAAATAGATTTCCAGTTACTGATGAACTCCTGAAACCACTCTTAGAAGGCTTGACCATTCAAGAAGCCATTGACCAAAAAAAACTGTTCATGTGTGATCTTCAGCTTTTGGAAGATTTACCAGTCCGGGAAAATTTCACAGTAAGCACAATTAAATACTTTAGTAGACTATTAAATTGTTTAGTTTTCATTTTTATTGTTTTCGATAGAATTTTGGTGGAACTTTTGTCAGCAGATTATTATGTATTTGGTACAAGCTTTTATTAAACTTGCTGTCTTTTGTCATGGATTGAAATTGCTAAGCAAAATTTGATCACATCTAACTGACAAATTTCTTCGGGACATTAGTCAAGAACTAATAACAATGCAATCTGACATCAAATTTGAATTTATTGAATGCTCATTTAATTTAAAAAGAATTAAATAAAAGGTTCCTATATAAAGTACTATTTTCTGGCGCTATGATATTGCACATTTTTTTTTTACTTGGTGCGCATTTTTTTTAGTCATTACTCAAATTAATTTGCTTTCCACTACTTGCTAATGAGTTTTTGAAAAATTAACTTTAATCTCCAGCTTTGCTCCCCTATGGGCTTGTTTTTTGTGGATAATAAAAACCAGTTGAGGCCTGTGGCCATCCAGTTATTCCAAACACCTGGACCAGACAACCCAGTATGTACACAAAATTGTCATGTTTAATTTTATTTAACTGTTTATATTTTTGGTGGGTTATGAGACACAAAGGGCCCAATTGATAAACTGGGGCCTGAAAACTAAATTGTGAATGGGGAACTATGTTAAGTTTTATGACCAGTAAATGGAGTAGAGTTTATTTACTTCACAAATAAGCAGATTTCAATGGCAAGTGATCATAGACTCTCTTGAATGACCACTGTGATGTAGTAAGCTAGGGTTAAATTGTTGGTCAACAAATGGTTAAAGATACCAAAAACTAAAAGACACACTAGCTCAAAAAAATAATTTGACAGATCATTTAATTGTTAAAATAAGGTGTGATATGTGATTGAAAACATTTTTTTTTTAAATTTCAAATAAAAATAAAAACAATTTTTTTTTTAAAAAGATCTTCACTCCACTGAATCCATCTCTGACATGGGCTCTTGTTAAAATGTGGTACAACAATGCTGATGCAGCTTATCACCAGGCACTGACACATTTAGGTTGGTACTCACTGGCAAAAAAAATCTAAAAACTTATTATAATGCACAAAAAAACATTAATTAAATAAAAAAAAAAATTTAAAATTCAAATTTAAAAAAAAACAGGTATGCCAAAATGCATTTTAAATACTTTAAAACTTTTTCTGGGTATATCCACAGGAATGACACATTTGTTAATGGAAGGTGTCACCGTAGCAACACATCGCAATCTGTCCCAGTCACATCCTATCTTTAAACTTCTCGCACCACATTTCCTGTATTTGATTGCTATCAACACGTAAGTATTTGCATTAAACTTTTCTTCTCTTTCATTCCAAAAGAGAGTTTGTATTAAATTTATATCAATGATGATGGTGTGATGTAGTGGTAGCTTTAGTGTGTGTGTTCAAATTGGATATAGAGTATTGTTTTATTATTAAAATATAAGGAAAATATTTTTTAAACTTCAATCACATTAATATATTATTTAAAATGAAAATGTTACATCTGGATCTTAATATGAATGGCTTTATCTTTGCTGTCAAGGCGTGGCTTGGAGTTGTTGATTGCTGATGGAGGCTGGGTAGACAAGACAATGAACTTTGGAAACAAAGGACTCTTTGCTTTGATAATTAAAGGGTACCTTATAGCCTTAAAATATTTCTTTCTATTCTAAAATCACAAATGCTTGAATTACTTCCCTTAAATGATGCATGATATTAATTTTAATTATAATAATTTAAAAGAATAAATATATATTTTAAATAGCTCAAATGGTATTTGAAAGCCACATGTATAACAAATCAAAACATCACACTAATAAAAATATTTTTGATTTAGCTTCAAGAGTTGGAGGATGGATGTTGAAGGAACACTTCCTGAAGACTTGAAAAGAAGAGGAGTAAGTAATCTTTAATATAGGAATAACTTTATAAAGTTCCGTCCAATAGAACAAAATTTAGAATAATTTATTATTAAATTAGCATATAAAAGTGAACTGACTCATATTTTTATTTACAGTTGGATGATCCAAATGTGCTGCCATGTTACCATTTTAGGAATGATGCCATGCTTTTGTATGCGGCAATAAACAAATATGTCAAGTCATATGTCAGCCTCTACTATAGTATGTTTCACTCTTTTTTAATTTTTATACCATTTTACAATCACATTCATTTGACAGCAGCAAAAAAAAAAAAGTTGCTTCGTGAATGATGTTTGAAATAATTATTTTCACTCATAAAAACGTAAACATTCAACTTTTAATCAAATGACATTTTGAGTTGAATGTTACTTTAAAATAAAAATAAATGAAAAAAAAAGCTTGATTTATTATACATTTGTATCGTTTTTCTACAGCAAGTACAAAATTACTAGAAGAAGACACAGAAATCCAAAACTGGGTTCACGAACTAGTAAAGGAAAGAAACAATGCATCTGGAGGAGTTGGAATTTTAGTAGGTTTAGTTTTTATCTTAGAGTTGATACTTTGTTCAAACTTTGCATAACTGTATTGGCAAGGGCTAAAAATTTGAATAACTTTTTTATCAAACTATTTTAAATATTCTGAATGTATTGACTATGAATTTTTAAATTCATGAATACTGATTTATCATGCAAACTGTTAACAATCTTAAAATCTTCTTAACCCTTTCAAATATTCATTTATTTGTTTAGGGTGTGCCAGGCAATGGAAAATTAACAACCAATACCCAATTGGAGCAGATTGTGACAAGTATTATTTATACATGTAGCATCTCTCATGCATCAACAAACTTCCCTCAGTATGAGGAATACGCATTTCCTCCTAATTATCCTGGGCTCCTACGTGGCAGACCTCCTAACAATCCGGTAATTATAACAATTGATATACTTTTAAAAAAATAATTCGTAAACATTAATTATATAGCACTTGTTATAAAAACTTAGGAGAATGAAAATTAGTTAAAATATTTTATTTTTAATTATTCATATTATTTTCTTAAACCTTTCTACGTTTTTGTGTGTGTAAGTTTAACATTTTTATTACAGTTCAAAGTAAATTTTGATCCAAATTTATATTGCATTTTACTGTTTTAGACATTTAGTTAATAAAAGATTATCTACTACCTAACCTCAGACAGTTTTATACTTATAAAATTATAATTTTAGACCTTTATAGATTTAACTAGCTCAATATTTTTTTTAAACTAACAAAGTGCATTTCAGTTATAAAGAAATGTGTAATTCTGTATGTTATTGGTGTATTTTTTTCTCTCAGAAATATGAGGTGACAGAAAGAGACATACTTAATTGCTTGCCAGACAGACCAACCACTTTGGATATTATGATTGTGACAAAAATTCTCAGCGCTAAAGGAACAAAAAGTATTGGTGACTTTGAGGTGCAGTACATTTTCGATCCAGCAGCAAGAGATATAGTTGATGAGTAAGCTGCTGTTTCAAGTCGTTAGCTATATTCTGTAATTTAATCTTTAGCTTTTACATCTTCATACCTTATTTCTGTGATTTACATTTGAAAAAAATTATGTTTGCAACAAAAGATAAAAATGTCAGGTTTTTTTTTTAAATTTATTTTTGTTTTAAAAATTTTTGAGTCCTTGATTCTGCATATAAACTAATATATGAATATGCTAAAAAAAATATTTCTTTTAAGTATTTTGATTTGGCAATTTATATATATTACAGATTCCGCAAAGACCTTAGAAAAATTAGCAAGCAAATCAAAGAGAGAAATGTACACAGAAATCCTCCTTATGAATATTTGGACCCAGACATCATTCCAAACAGCATCAGTATTTAAAGATATAGTTGACAGTTATGTTTAGAAATCATTTTTTACACATTGTTATTTATGTAATTATCCAATTTACTGTTTCTTCCAACTGAATTGAAACAATTCTACCCAGCATTCCTGTGCTTGTATTAGCTTAACATTTTTTTCTCTATTTCAAAACTTTTATTGTATAAAGCTTGTGCATAATTTGAACATAAAACAATACCTATTTTGTGCTATTTATCTTGTATAGCAAAATAAACATTGATTAATAATTCTTAATTTATAAAACTCAAAAAGGAAAAAAAAATTTAACAAGTTCCAGTACTCATTCCTGCAAAAACGTTTCACAGTAAATGTTAATACTTTTTAATTTTTACCTGATTAATAGTAATTTGCTGTAAAATAAATCCTTTTGTTAAATGATAAAGCACAATAACAAAAATTAACTACATGAAGTATCACTTTATTAACTGTAAATATTTTTACCACAATTTGTGTTTTGTACAAAAATGACATTTGTGTTACACAACGCTTTTATTCCCTTGTTAACTGGCAGCAGTGTTGAAAGTATTTCCTAATGTGACCAGCACATCAGTTTCCAAAAGTAATATTTCCCATTCTGATGGTCTGGCATAATAAAATGCACTATTATTATCATGTGCAGGAAAGTAACTTTCAAAACTTGAGAAATTTAAAATTATTCATGTGCATGTTTGCAACACAATTTTTTTTAGTGCTGTTGAGATTTTAGTTTTCTTTTTTTTTGTTATCTAATGCATTTTACTAAACTTTATAGTTTAGCATTTATAGCATACAAATTTTAAGAACTTCACATATTATATAAATATTTTTTTTAAATGGTTACCCCATATTGAGTTTTTACTTTAAGTCATCTTAAGAATAATTTACAAAAAAGAAAGTCCAATATGACCCATGACATTACCTCCATTGTGTTTTTTTTAAATCAATTTTCTTCTCGTTTAAGTTAGTCTAGTCAAAATTTTATAGTTGTCAGAATTGTGTCAGCTATGAGCCAAAGAATTTTCCACAATAACCCCTTCAACATAGATTCAGCTTCATCGTGTATTGTTTTCTTTAAATATTTGAATGCTAATCTTAATCTTCTGAAGGTAATTCAGCTTTTGAGCACTGTTTTTGTTTTCCGAATTAAGTTTGATGCATATTCTACTTCATATCAACATGATGTTTTTATAACATTTTTTTTCTCTCCTACTACCAGCATTAAAAAATAAACTTTTAAAACTATACCTTTTAAAAATCCTTTATTTCTTTTTGAATGCCAATTATAGTCTTTGTAACTACAATTCACCATCCTTTTAAATTGTGAAATATTTTTTTTTGAGTTTTGAAAAACTTAACAGAAATGGGCATTCTGTGATTTTTTTAAAATTTACTTACTGAATGGTTTTTGTGTTTAATGCATATAATAATTGCTTCACTGTAATTTGAAATAAGGTGTTTATATCTTCTGTACATAAGTTGTTTATATAAATCTTCTGTGATCTGTTAAGCTAATGTTTTATTGCTTTACAAAAATTTTATTACTAATAAATCTGAAATTCTTGTTTATTTTAAAATATTCTTAGTGTTGAGTGTGTAAAAGTGTTTATGAAATTATCAGTCAATTTCTTAAAAGATCAAAAACTATTTTTGTTTGCAATTATTTTTTACTTTTTTTTAATTAAAACATTAGATGATTACCTTCAATGAAATGTTGCAAATCTAGCATACTAGTTACTAGTACTGCTTGCTGAAAATATTGATCCACCGATTGTAAAAATTTTGTGAATAAATTCTATTTCTAGTTTGCACAGTCAACACTAGCCCATTATATTGCAGAGACACAAATAGTTTATTGTTGCCATTTTGAACATTTATTCTCAATAGAAAATGGGCCATAGCATTGCTATGATTTTTATTTATACTTCAATCTTCAACAATCTTTACAGCACTAAGAAATACACATTCTGGTATTAATTATATCGTCCTTAATTATTTCAAATAAATATTAGCATTAATTCTGGCAATTTTTTAGTAGTTCACCAAAACAATGCTGCAAAAATATTTAAAACAAACATAAGTCACATTTCAATATACAATAAGGATTTTATAACATCCACAAAGATAATTTATTGAAGACATTATGATAACTTATAACTAAACATGTTTCATCAATAAACATACAAGTCTGTAGAAAACTTACTTTTCAACTTCAGTATTTCAGTTAAAGTTAAACAAAAATTTATGAAATAGAAATGGATAAATAAATCTGTTTTATTCTTGTGCAAGTTAAAGTCTTTGCAAAAAAGTAGTCACTGAAAAATGCCTTTAAATAATCTTTACAGTTATCTTTGACTTTAGCTTTTCACCTAATTGTATACAACAAATTACTTAAAGCCGAATGATTTGAATTTGGCACATCTCCATAATTTATTGGTGACCTGATCTTAATTCTTCTTATGTGTGTATCCCGTCCATTTTGGTGGTTACTCAAGACTGCAATTTGAATCATGAATGTTCGTATTGGTTTGTCATGAACGTCTTTTAGAGGAATACACACCCAGCCTGTTGGTTCACATAACTCTACCTGTTCAATTTCACACAAGTCATTGCCATGATTACCTGCCCTTATAGACAACCTGAAAATTGAAAAACCAAGAAATTTAGCGCAATGTCAATTATATTTGTTGTTTTTTTTAACAAAAACAACACTTTTGAACTTCATAAAAAGCATTTCTTCAACTTGGGTTATTAACAACTGTCCCCTAACCCACAACTTTCTTTTAATTTTATTAGCCACAAATTGTGATTTATTCTATCTTGGTATAATTAAATTAGCCCAACAGGCCCATTACAAATTTGTCAGGTAAAAACTCCAGTCTAACATTTCAAATTCCCATTAGGGTTAACATTAAAATACTAACAATACCTATTTGGTGTGTAGCTTTCATCTGACTTGTAATCTGCATAAAGACAGACATCTTGTATGGCAGTTTTCCTCCTGAATTGAATACTAACTGTATGAGGTTGAGGACCATCAGATTGCCAGTATGTATCATTAGATTCATCACGAAGCTGATCAACACCAAAACCTTTAAATAGTTTGTACGCTTAAAATAAAGTGTATGTTATTCATGTCTGCTTTGGGCTTATAAGTTACTCTTAACCTTTAACCTTTAGAAATTAGAGTCCATATGGCAGATGAAGTAAAGTTCACCGGTTTCTGCAACAGGATATATAAAGGGATAGTGTTGTAAACACTAGACACAGCTCCTTCACTTTCCCTACATCAGTCAGGTACCCATCACAGCTAGATGGACTCAGGGATGTCCTTGATAATTAGATCTGAACTCAAGACTTCTGAGTTAGTAGTTTTGAACTCTACCATCCAACTCAAAACAATTTTTGCTTCAATATAATATCGTGGTTGCATAGTTAGACATAACATTTGCCTCAGTCATCACATAGTCATAATAAAAAGATGATATGATAAGGGCAAGCAAGTTATGTTAAAATGAGCACTGCAATTGTGAAGTGTTTAAGCATTAGGTCTATAGTTGTGTGATAATTATGTAATATATAAGCCCCTAAATGATGCCATTAATCTGCCCTAAGTAGTAAGATTAAAAATATTAAATATGAAGAGGGGTTTGGAAACAGGCATTATTAATGAAATAGCAACATACTCATAACACAGACATAAAATAAAGTGTTATCTCAATGCCAAAGGTAGACATAAGTATGTATAATTAAAGTCACTGATTTTTAAAATCGAAGTGACTACGCGTCTCGCAAAGCGTGGCCCCTAAAGAATATACTACGCGTCTCGCAGATTTGATTTGCCATCTTGTAATTGAAAATGCTTACTTTTGACTTCTCTATCACATCCGCTGTGGTTGAGTCAATAGTGTGCCAGCTGTGGTCTAAAGTTCATAGACCCGGAGTTCAGAGTTCGAACCCGGGGTTAACTCCGCTGGTACTTTTTTTTTTTTTACATTTTTTATTTCATAGTGAAAATATGACGTAGACTATGATTCTTTTTTTTTTTAAATAAAATTTCCAAACATCGTCACTGCCGTGATTGCTTGCCTTACGTATACTATCCAGTGAGTGGAAAATCCCACCACGGCCCACGGTCGGTGAGTTCACTGTGAGTTCAGCAGGCCTAAAGCATACGTCATAGACGTTCACACGAGATCTGTCTTCACTTCTCTCTTCCTCCCACCCCCCTCAAGCAAATTGAATTTTTTTTTTAAGTTCATGTAGGATAAATAATATAGACTTAGATCTACTATCACGCATGCTAGATAGCTAGGCCTAAAGGTTAAAGGACAGTTTGATTTTAGCTAGGTTGCTGCTAGATCTAGGACTATCATCTGACCCATCTGACCTCACAAACTTTCCTTGACACTACATTGTACTGTTTTTTTTTTACAAGTACTAGACTCTTAGGTGTTGAAATAATATAGAGATCTAAATACACTTAAACTCTATCTAGATCTATGTCAACATTAAATTGTTACCACGAAAAAAAAATCGGGCAGTCTGTTTTCTTTAGATCGCGTGCCACCTAGGGTAAAGATTAAGCATAACGCGGAGCGAACTGCGCAAAGGCGGCCTTACGCGTAACGCGGAGCGAACTGCGCAAAGGCGGCCTTAGGCGTAATGCGGAGCGAACTGCACAAATGCAGCCTTTTAAAGTATTAATTGTTGAAATTTTTTCAAGCTTAAGTTTTCTTTACAGCCACTAGGAAGGCAAAATTGACTAAACACAATTTTTATCCATGTCAACTGACATATTATGACAATAAAAGTATTCATATTCTAGTGTTAGTCCATCAACCTACCTAAATTGCTAAATCTAGTAGCCTAAATCATGATGATATAGACATTATAGATCTAGGTGATACAGATATTGGCCAATTTATCCAATTATTACATTAGGCCTAATATCTAAATTCTAAATGATAAAATATTAAAAATAACCAACCTGGTTTACATGATGAAAGAGACCAAACTGCTTGGTTTCCAACTTCCCTCAATTTGCCATCTCTCTCATCTTTGAAAATATCAACAGTTTGAGCATCACTAAATTTTTTAAGCATCCTTAAATTATAATGGACTCAAATCTGCCCAGAACAGAGTCCGGTGAAGAAGTGCTTGATGAAGTCCTTAGCCGGGCTTAGCTAGCACCTTTCTTTGCTCCAATCCTACCCTCAGTGGCCTCAGTCACTCGATCACTCAGGTGCTAGATTTCTAGATCTAGGCCTACAGATTAATATTATAATAATTACAAACAAAGCACATTTTAAAATAGGCCTAATAAATATTAATAAATAAGTCACATAAGAATATTGGCCTACTGCCTTGTACAGAAACCAATCACAAACAAGTAGTCATTAATGATTAAATCTAGATCTAGATCTATCTCTAGATTCTAGATTTAATTTTTTTTTAAATGTAATAAGCTGTTTACAAAAGTCTAGGCCTACTCTTATTTTTCAAAAATTAGATTTCTTAAAAGAGCAAGCTAGTTACCAATACCAAACGAATAAAATATTCAAAACATACACAGTCTAGATCTAGATCTAGACTAGATCTAGATTCTAGATCTAAATCTAGAACTCAACTCTTAAAAATATTTTGCCTAGAGATTTTGGCAATTTAACCCTAACGCTAACCCTAACCCTCGATCAATAGTGTTTACTAGAAAATAAGTCTGTTATTCGACTAGCATTCGCCAGGAAGCCATAAAAAAATGTTTATAAACATTATAAACATCCCAACAATTCACACTAACACAAGAAAACAAAAAGAGGACAGTCGAAAAAGTATTTATTTTCTACCTATAAATTATATTTCGTTCGGGGGAAGGGGGCGGTAGAAGTGCTTTGGAGCAGTGCCCCCTCCCCCACCCTCACCGAAGAGATGAGACGATAAATTGTGAGAAAATCGACTGTAATGACAAGACGGGGTAGAAAACACAAAACTGTGGAGTGAGGACAGCAAACAACACAAAGGCAAATAATTGAGAGGAAACGGCGATCAGTGTTTCTTCCAGACTTTTTTCTCCGGGGGGGGGGGGGCACTTGAAACTTTCGGGGGGGGAGGGGTAGACTTTCTCCGGGTGGGCGGACACTGTTAAAAGTATATATTTTCTATATAAATTTCATTTCGTTCGGGGGGTGGGGCGGAAGAGATGCCTGGAATAAACTCTGATGGCGATGGATTGGAGTGAAATCCACAGTGCAAGCAGATATGACGACGACTGAGTAGAGGCCCTATGCTCCGCAAGGATCGAAAAGGAAAAAATGATTATGTGTGATTATGTTTGTGTTATGATTTATGGAACATTTCTTCAAGAAAGACACCAATTTCATCTGTCTTACATCTTACATTTGGGGGGGGGGGGGGGGGGCGTCTGCATGGTTAAGTTAGGCCTGTATGTTTCTATATAATTAAATTACAAGCTTTTTCGAGGGAATTCTGTCAGTACCCCCTCCCTAATTGTTCCTTGCATAGCCGTTTTAAGAAATAATGATAATGACATTGTTGTTTTGACAGAACCTTTTCGTATACTATTTATTGGGCAAGGTTTAGCAAAAAGTATAAAATTTGATGAAAACTTTAAAGCCTACGACTGTTAGTTGAATTTTTTAAGAAAGAAATTACAATATTGACGGGGGGGGGGGGGGGGTCCTAGACGTAGCGTCATTTTAAGAGGGGGGGGGGGGGGTCGGGCTTTTATATGACGATTAAGAGAGCAGGGGAAGCATGACTTCGTTCATAGACCCCTAAGATTTCTACTTTGACATATTTGAATTTGTTGTGTTAAATAATTAAAATAGACTTCTATTTTTATCTAAAACTATTTGTTAAAAAAAACAACCCATAAAATACTTTTAAATATAGAATAGTTGGATTTAGGATGGGAATTTTTATTTTATTTTAATTAAAACTATTATAATTGATAACTAGATCTAGATAAATTATCATACTGTCAAAAATGTTGTAAATACATTTGAATGTTAGAAATATTGATTGGAACCGAGTCAACCGTAAAACTGATCCGAATTTTTAATTTTGATTTAGATCTAATCTATGTTTTGATTCTGCTTTGGCTTTATCCATACGGAAGTAAGAAAGAATAACAATCAGTTTCCTAAGTTGAAGTATTGAGTCCAGGGCCTAGATTCTAGCTAGCCAGAGTAAAGTAGTAATTTTTGTTTATATACGAGAAAACGGCTTGGCTTTTTAAATATATAAAAAATATGCCTTTCTTTTCAGGTATTTACATTTAAACATTAGCAATGAGCGTATAAATAATGTGTGTGTAGGCAGAGGTCTGTACTGTACTGTACTCTTCTCAGGTCTTCTGTAGTCGAGTCGACTCACTCAGTGTCGTCACGTCGTATATTGACTAGATCTAGATTTCTAGATCTTACATTGTATTTTGTAGTGTAAAGTGTAGTGTTATGTGTAGTAATACTTTGACACTCGGCAGTAACCGAGTAAGACTAAGTGAGTAAGTTACTTGGTTGTGTGAAACTGACATGAGTAGCCTATAAAATAAATTTAATTTTTACTTTGGTGAGGTCAGTCTTTACTTTAGTTTAGGCAGTTTGGGCCTACTCTTTTTAGAATCTAGAAAGATAAATTTGAATCTTGATCTAGCTTGATTCTACTTCACACAAACCAATGTCAAAGTCATCCTAGGTCCTAGGGGTTGAAATTTCTTGGACTTTGTTTTTACTAGGCTATATACTAAGTACTAAGGCGGGGTCGTCCATAAATAACGTCACACTCGTAAGGGGGAGGGGTCCATAATTTTGTGACAGTGTGTGATGAGGGGGAGGGGTCAGATGGTGCGACATCACACTTTTGTGTCATCAAAAAGCAATGTTAGAAAACAAATTTTAGACGTTATTTTGCGTTTTAGAAAACTGTTTTAATAAATTGTAATAGGAATTTGTTTAATAAAATACTCTATTTTTACAGAGTTTAGACAAGATTTTGGAAAATATCGATGTTTAAAAAATTTTGAGGGGGGTTGTAGGCTGAGGTGTGACGTCATTTTAGGGGTGGGGGTCTGGCTTTTTGTGACAGAGGGGAGGGGGGAGGTAAAAATCTGCAAAAAAAGTGTGACGTCATTACGGATGACCCCATAGATCTAAAGGTTAAAGATTTTCAAAATAGGGTCAGGGCTGTTGTAGGACTTAAATCATATGGATATGACTGATATCCAATCATAGTCACAGACTCCTTATAAAATATGTTTGTTAGGTTGTTAGTAGTAGTGTCATTTCAGGTTTAGTGTTTAGGTCAGAAATTAGGGCTAGGACTTAGATTATAGATAGGAGGACTTGAGCGGGGGATACAGTTAGGGCTGGCAGAAGCAAGTCATATGTAATTGTATCTAGTAAACTACCAGTAATCTAATAGCCAATTTTTTTAGAATAATTTGTTTTATTACTCATGTTAGAGAAAGTAAAGGCAGCTGGGCTAAGTGCTAAGTACACCTTTCCTTCATATGCAGAGGTCAAGAAACATATGAAATTGACTTCATCTGCCCAATGGATCACTAGGTCTAAAAACTAAAAGGGATTCTTTACTTTATAAACTATCAGAAAAACTTGATTTTGTTCGTTTCGTATCACTTTATACAAATTTTAATCTAACTAAACAATATTTTAATCACAAAATATCTTTTTTTCAGCAAGACTCTAAATACAATATGTCCAGAGTTTTAAAAAATCTATTGTAAGAATAGGAAGAGGCTAGCTAAACCACTATGCAAAGGACAAGTGAAATAAATTGTGAAGAGAATGACTCCATCTACGAGGTACCGCCACCTTCAAACAGAAACAGCATCCCTGTTTTGCCTATTAAAAGTCCATTACCTGAACCCGCATCTCCCCCACCACAGCTGATGCCAAAAAAGGGGAGCTCATTCAGATTTTCATCAGCTCTTCTTGATCCAAAACCAGTCTCAGATAGTCCTAGGCCAGCTCCGAGACAAAAGAAATCAGACCAGAGGACGTCGTCTATGTTTGTTGAGAGCAATGGCTCACACACAGACCACCAGCAGCAGAAAAACACAGACTCAAACCATATAACTCTCATCAGCTCACCACCTCCAAGTCCACTTGCACGGCCAGTCCCTAAACCGAGAACCAGATCAGCACCAAGCACAAGAACCTCCCCCCTTCTTAAAACCACCAAACCTAACAGTTTTCCTCAGATAGGTACTGTCAAAGAGGATACCAATTCAGAGAGCCACTGCAATCCACCACCGGAATCTGAAGCTCGGTGGAATCTGCCCCCTGACCCAGACAGCCTGGAGATGATGCTGAATGAGGAAATGGACAAAAAATATGGCTTCCAGTTGGACAGAAACTCTGATCCAAACTCTAAATGTGAAGAAACGACTGATCAACCAGGACAAACTGGACTTTATGTAAATAAAGATGTAATCAATGCTTTGAAAAAGCCAGAAAACCCTGACACCTTATGGAACAATAGCCCTGCATCACTGTCTCAAAAAACAATGTCACCTAATTCTAGTATTCACCAAGAGACTGTCTCGTTTAAACAGTTTTCTAACAAAAACACCACCGGAGTAGGTTTAGGCTCACTTCCCTCTTCAGCTTCACATAACACCAGCGGCAAGCCTAGTATAAACATAGGCTTGCAACTAGGGGAAAGCTCTACAGATGATCCATCCCATTCACTCTCCAGCTCCCAAAAGTACATGCAATTTGATTTCTCTGATTTGGATCCTTTGTGTCAAAAAAACTGGAGCTCCGAGCCCACAGACAATCAGGATGACTCCCCAGACCTGAGCCCGGATCATTATGAAAGACCTGACGAGGTCCTAGCAACAACGCCTGGTCGGTACAGCTTAAGGTCCCCTCATTTCGACCCTCCAATAGCCCCTCCACCTCCCTTCCCCCGAGAACAAAATCGCCTTCCAGAAATCAAAGCGCCTCCGTTACCACCTCGTCCTACAGAAAATGTTCCAGATATACATTTAGATCAGAGTTCTTGTTTCGCCCAAGACATATTTGATGGGGTTGTAACAGCAGAATTCACTCCCGGGGAAGACATGAATGATCCGTTTGAGGGCACGAATTTCGATGATGTTTGTCATAAGTTCAATAGTTCAGCTAAAGTTATCGAGGAACCAGAACTTCCTCAACGAGTGCCTTTAATACCAGATGCTAACCCATCACCAGTGACTGACCCCGAGCGAATAAGTCGGTTTGTGATTCCCCCGCCTGGGTCAGTAGTCAGAGAACCTGATGACCAGTTCAGCAGAGAGTATAAATTAGCAGGAGGTAAGTTCTTCTTTCTCCTATGTTTAATTTTTTTGTACGCTTAGCTTAGTCTTGATACCAGTAGAGCTTATGAGTAGTTCATCATTTGATAATATCATGAGGGCTGATGAAGTAGTTAAAGACTCAATATCATTAGGCAGATGAAATTGAGCTAAACACTTATTGTTAAAGATAAAGTGCACAACAGACCTGATCTCCAAGTTACTATACTTGTTTTGGAAAATGCACAGAATTTTTTTATTTTTCCTTAGATTCTACTGTATTTTTAATAGCAGTAACTCAGAATATGCTACACACTTAGCATACATTGTCTTTCAAATGTAGAAGTAATCATGCATTAGACCACACTTTGCTCTATTTATAGTGTTCATTGTTTTACAGTTATCCTACAAGTGTAAGTGGAAGGTTTTGTATGGGCACTCAGATATCCCAATCTGTTTGTTCCATTGCTGTCAGTTGTTCCTCATATATGAGTCCTTTAAAAACACTTCTTAAATAACTGCTGTTTACTTAATCTTTTTCATTATTACCAATGCTGTGTCAGACAAAGTTATACTTCTAGTTCTGCTTTTATTTTGTCTACGGTCAAGTGTGTTATTTCAATATGTTAAAATGTTTTGCAATATCAATTAGTATTGTTATTACTCTTTATTTTTTTAATTTGTATGGAAATAGAGGGTAGGGAAAGCTCTGATTTTGGGAGAAGTGGAGGGTTTGAAATTCGATATAGTATAAATATAAAAACATTCAAATTTTCATTACTTTGTGGGGGGGGGGGGGGTGGCTATTCTGTCTGTCATCATTTAAATGTAGTTTTTAATGATGATTTATGATGAAAAGGGAATGGGTGGTAACAATTTTGACCTCAAACGGGTGCAACATTATGAGCTCTGAACATTTAAATGAGGTTTTAAACTTTTGTAATTTGTCTCTAAACAAAACCAAATATGTCGTATACAGTGTCTCTCCCAGGCATCTCTTCTGTTTCCCCTCGAAGCTCGTCTACCATCCTCCCTAACGAAATATAATTTATAGAAATAGAAAATATATATCTTTAACAGTGTGTCGTTTCCCCCCCCCCCCCCCCGGAGAAAAAAGTCTGAAAGAAACCTGGTCGTAGACTCAGTAATATGTAAAACATAAGAGTTCAATGTCAGCACTGTGATTTCAATTGATGATTGCAATTAAGTGTTGTTGAGAAAAAACCTACAATATCCGCAACTCAACCCCAAACAAACAATAACCTTTTCCCTTAAACCTACAACTAACTCAATCCCCTGTTCTGAACTCGACAATCGCCGCCATCACACCCAAATGACAAGTCACAGTAACCTTATCGGATACCATCTACCATCTGTACAAGTTCGGCGGCTGATGAACGCAAACCTACACACAAACCAGCCAGCAACAGGTTCTCCAGCAAGTTATCAAGGTTTACTGCTCTAATGTGCAGTTGTCGGGATTAGTTTAAATTTTATGGCCAGCCATCAAACTGCTGTGTTTGTTTCGCTGTCACCACTAGACTTTTGGTATACACAGAATATAGCAACAGAGAGTCCGCAACATGGTTAACATAATTATATAGAGTTGTGTTTTTCAAAACTAATTTGATTGTCAAAAAGATAGTCCTATAATTCACTCACTAATTAACCCTCCCCACCCCATTTTGATGTTTGCGTTATACCCCTTAGTTATAACCAGTGTTTCTTCCAGACTTTTTTCTCCGGGGGGGGGGGGGGGGGGCACTTGAAATTTTCGGAGGGGGGGTACAAAATTTTACGGTGGTCACTGCTACAAGTATATATTTTCTATATAAATTCCATTTCGTTCTGGTGGGGGGGGGGGCGGTTCAACTACCCCCCCCCCCCCCCCCCCCGAAGAGATGCCTGGAAGAAACTCTGGTTATAACACAGCTCTTGTTTTAACCATAAACAATGTATATATTACAAACCTACTACCAAGCCGTTTTCCTATACCACCAGACTACAATCAAGCTGACGGTTTTTCCCCCCACAGGTACGCCAAGATATGTATAGACAGCCAGGTTTTAGACCTGTTTAAATAGACCTGATCTTTTTTTTTTTAATAGACTTGCGTGATTTACAGTGATTGATTACACCATTTAGGGACCGGTTTTAATTTAATGAAACCAGACGCTAATAATAATAAAAAAAACGAGGAAAATAAACAACTTCACTTGCTGTCTTCGCCTCCCCCCTCTCCCCATTTGCCTTGCGGTATTTTTTTTATAGTTGGTACGGGTTGTAATTTAATTTCTATTTACAAAAGTATGCGTGTGTTGTTGTTGTTGTTGGTTTAAAGATAAAAATACGTTTAGAATTAGAGAACACGTGTGTAGTTTTTTTTTCTTTCCCAGTGGTATCTCTTCGTTATCAGGGCCATCCAAAATTTTAACAAAAAAAAAAAAAACGAGCACTCCTACTAGCAAACTCCAGAAGGTGTCTCGTTATGTAATTAAAAAAACTTTTTACAAATTTTAATGTGTTTTGTATAGCAAAGGGACAATATCTCTTGAGCAGGAGCTAAATCTTTTGTCACAAATTACTCTCGTTTTCTTATCTTACTTCCATAATTATATATGTGTATATACATATACATATACATATACATATACATATACATATACATATACATATACATATACATATACATATACATATACATATACATATACATATACAATCTTAAAATTATGTAATTATGCAGCTTGTTTCCATTAACACGAACCAGCCAAATATAAATGCCGGTTGATTGGTGTAAAAACTGCCCCAGGTGGCCAAGGTCGACAACACTGTTGGCCGCCTCGATCTTGGCGTCTTCGTCTTGTCACAAGTGGAGGAAAGAGTGGCATTCGTTTCAGTTTAGTGTGTGCCAGGAAAACGGAGCTGTATACCTGTTCTGGAGATAGGCTTTCTGTTTTCTAGGAGACCTCGATATTTTTTCAGTAATTGTTTCGTGCTATTGTGTAGCGAATGTTTTGTGGGGCTAGTTTAAATCTTCAGTGTGCAGTATTGTGGGCTTTGTTGTTTCGGGGCTTTGTTGAAGAATTTGGTACCGTGGACTAAGACGTGCATTATTATTATCAGCCAAGTTCTAGAGGGTTTTAACACAATTGTATTTGTTACGTTAATCTTGGTAGGGTAGGCGCTTGAGCGCGATACTATAAGCACTGCATCTCATATAAATTAACTATGTATAGCAAATGTCCGTCTGCCTCTTTCATTTCAGATCTACCTCATCAAATCAACATTTAAAAATCCCAATCCTATGCTATCTAAATCTCATCTGTATTGAAAATTTACCTCATTCAAATCGCAACTATATATCATTTGGTCACAACTTTATGTCATAGAAAAGTGTCATTTTTCAACACATTGTATCAAAAAAGTGTAGAAATATCTTCAACTTCGTTGCCTACAGTAAGAGGGTACATAAAACTATGCTAATAAAACATCATCAACTCTGACAATGCAGGTCGTGGTAATGTGATAATCGCGATGTTAAGCAACTTCGATTACATGTTCCTTTTCCGGATAAGTTCATCTTTTACATCATTTATTTCGAATGGGACGGAATATTTGCCTCCCCACCCTCTCCCCAATTTGGGGATGTAAAACAGGTGGTTTATTTCTATATGTGTTAGTCGGTCCTGAAAAGTGCATTCAATTACATAAACCAAAAGATTCACATCTTTATTTTGTAAGTTTACAAAGTGGGTTGCGATTATTTTTTAGAAAGATTATT